CTAATATCTGGCATATTATGCCAAGTCCCAGCATCTCTAAATCCTTAGTTTCCATAACAACAGTTTTGTTCCATTTTCATATAAGAAAGGAAGTTGCCGTAGAGAGCATTTTTTTAGAGATGAGAATGGCTGAAGTAATTACAACATAATTTATGTTCTGGTTTAATTAGCTTCATTTACAGAAATGTGGCTAAGGTGTTTTCAGATACACTTTTGGTATCACAAGCTGGGAATGTGGAAATCAATAATATCCCAGAATGATGTAAGAATTTAAAACCAAGTTAAATTTCAAGTTAAATAGCTTCTTTAATTATAGTGAAAGGTACTTCAGACCACCTTCTGTTTCACATTGCATGGTGTTTTGGAAAGGTGGCTTTCAAATTCAGGTACCCGGATCATCCTAGGCCAGTGCCTTTTCAAGAGGGGTTTATTAGAACATTTAAATCAATAGTGTGAAGAAAAACTGAACACATTTTGTATTTCCCATATTTATTATATTGAGGCTTTTGTAAGAAGAAAAATAACATGACATTTATGTAAACTATCCACCATTATTTATTTATTTTGTTAATCCTCACCCAAGAATATTTTTCCATTGATTTTTAGAGAGAGTGGAAGGGAGGAGGAGACAGAGAGAGAGAAAAACATTGGGGCTAAACTATCCACCATTAGGCACAAGCTTGCACTTACAAAACTTTAAAAACAATTCTCCAGTGACTTTAACTTACATAGACTATATACCAGTAAAATCAATGATTTAGTATTGGCTGCCAGCTGGGAGAAACAATAGCCTTTTAGATTAGGGTTGAGAATTGGAAGTTAGAATGCTCAGGAAATGTACTTTTAACCTTAGGAATTTCAAAGCATCCCAAATTATCTTCTAATGAGGCCATTTACTTCATTTCTGAACATGATGTATTATCAGATGTTACAGAAATAAAGGCTGGTCTGTGTTGATTGTCATACAGAATATACCCATTATTAAAGATGATTAATCTACTCAGGATCACAGACATACCAAAAATACAATCAGTATATTATGTTATTTCTGCATACATGATGTCATTGTCTTTTGTTACATTCTTTCTTTAAAATATGGCTTGATATATAATAAAGGGCCCAAGCAGAAATAAATCTATCTATGTCACATTAAATATAGTGAAAGTATTTATAAACAAATTACTGCAAGAAAATTTAAAACGATAAACTTTGGGTTTTTTCCCTCAAGCATAAAGTAATCTGTATAGAAGAAATAAATTGTTTAGCTAGAAAACTAAAATTTCTTAATATGTAATAATACCAATTAATCTTTCATTCTGATTTAGGTACATAATACGCTTGCCTTGATTGGACTCTAAAATTAAATAATTTAGATAGCTGTCCATTTAAATGTTTTTGTCTACTGACTAGTCAAAATAAGTTTAGTATATTTTTCTTAGCATGTTTTCCTCTCAGAGGAATCTAGAACTGGAATTTGCATAAATCAAACTGTCAACAAACTCCAGATCAGGGAATTTATCTTAAAATTGGTTTATTTCAGAGTCAGAACTGATTTATTGCTTTGCTTCCTATTTTTGATTACTTTAGTAATCATAAGAGCAAAACTTTATTCCCCACATTTGTGATTTAATCAAAGCTAAAGTGATGAAGTGTTAGATTAGATCTGTGTTTGGGTAAATTCTATGAAAGAGGATGTGATTCATTCTGCAGCAGGCCTGTGCTCTGTTAGTACAACTGGCAATAACAAAATACATACGCGTTTTAAGGTCAGAAGTAACACTGGACTGCTTGTGTTTATAATAGCTATTGAAAGGAGAGGAGCTCTGGTTCTTTCAAATTTTAGTTTGGTATCATTTATTTTGAAATATTTCTTAACAACAACAACTACTACTATATACTCTAAAACAATACTGCCAGTTTCCATTTTGCTCTGAAATAACCTGTCACTCATTAGCACTGTGGTTTCTCAGTGGCTACATGTTAGTAATAGGCATTGTTTAGATGTTTTAAAAAAGAAACTGTGTATGATATGCACAAATGTAATTGCTATTTATGTTCCTCGCTATCTAACAAACATGTTAAGAAAAAAACACTCTTCTGAGAGCCCACTGACACTTATTCTACTTTTTCTACTTGTTAGAATACCAAAACCTCCTTTGCAATAGGAAATGAAACACCAAATACTTTCCTGCTTTGTACATTGGCCTCTTGAGATGAAACTTCGCCCACTCATATACATTCTTTGCAACCTTGCAGAGTCATCTAATCACCATGATTTCAACTTGTTCTCTTCAGATTCCGTGAAAACATCAATCCCCATGGGTGAAAAGCAAATGATTAACTCACAAAGCCACCCAGCTGGCTGTTAAACTAGAATTTGTGTCTCTCATTTGTTTTCGGCTCATTTGCTATTCCTTACTTCCACAATATACAAAATTTCCTGCTGCTGTGACAGGTGCAACGTTAAATTCTGGTTTAAGATTTTACAAACTTGCTACCCTGGCTTCTGGAGAAAATGAAACAAGGGTGAAGAAACAGAGAGAACACAAGGATCTCTTACCTGTTGCTTGTTGTTAGGTGTGTATGGCAGCATGGTAGAAACATGGAACATAATTTCATAGTCTTTGTATGTTGTGTACAGAGAATGGGTTCCAGTGGAGTCAGCTACAGTGAAAAACAAATAAACAAAAAAGAATGATGAGATGACTATAAGAATAGAAAAAATAGTTCATTTAAGAGAAATATCTCAAAAAAGAAAAAAAAGATGGTTTAGGATGAAAAGATCCTAGACAAGATCTAGAATAGGTGTTCTTATTCATTTTTTTGTACTTGATTCCCTTTGGCAGTCTAGGGAGGCTAATGGACTGCTTCTCAGAATGTTTATAAATGCATAAAATAAAATACATAAGGTTTCAACAGAAATCAATTATATTGAGAATTCAGTTACCAAAGTAATTTTAAAATATGATGCAATAGCATAGGATTTATGTAACAAGTCTTAGCAGTTGGTCTAATAACTATCATAGATTTGGTGTAGTGGTGCCATATTTTGAGATATCTATCATGACAAACAATATGATGACAAGACCTTTCTTTTGGCAATAAAAACCCCAGGTAGAGCTTTACTAACTACTGTGGTTTGTTGCCTACATTCATAATCGAAGGAAATGCTAAATTTCAGTTAGGGGTTGTGGACCCTGAGAAAAAATATACCTGTCAAGAAGGATTCATAATGGCTAATTGGGCTCACATTTAAAAACAGAGCCTAACAGCTTTCTAAACTGAAGCCTCTCATGTAAGCCATGCTTAGGGAGAAGCCTGTACCAAACTGCCTGCCTGCACTGTATTCCTGCCATCTAGACAACCCTTACAAAGGAGTTCCTGGAATCATATTTCAACCAAAAGAACGGAGACTTTCCTTGTCCAATCAGAGCTCCATAGTTATATCCTCATTAACATCTCCCCTGACCTATCAGGACAGTGCTTTTTTGACAAGTCAAATTGTGAAGATTTGGAACCTTCATTTGCATGAGGATGGACCACTTAGGGACCACAACATTGGTCCCTAAGAATAAAGCATCCAATGTAAGTCAGCTCCCCTCTGGTTCAGAGAGTGCACTTCCCTTTCCACAGAAGACTGCATTTTTCCAGCTGGAGCTGAAACACCAAAGACAAAACACTGAAAAGATTTCAAGGAACTGGGATGGAGGAGAGCAGGCAGAGCAGGACACAGCAGACCAGCACAGAGTCTGGCAAAGCAGAGCTATGTAGTTGGAGAGGGACCTTGCCCCAGGGCTGCCTCATCCCAAGGCCATCTCTGAGCCATACTATTCCACAGCCATGCTGCTTCATGACTGCATTGGCACCATGGTCCCCATGACCATCGTTCAACCGGGTCAATAAAAATAAATGTAAAATTTTTTTCTATTCAAGTTCAAAAATTCCTGAATTCTTTCCATAGACATCAAGTTAAGAACATCTTTTCCAATATTTCTGATTCAATCAAGAACTATTTTGTTCTTAATAAATAGATGAAAATTCAACAAGAATGTAATACTGAACAACAAAGGTATTATAGCCATGTCCACCAATTTTTTTAAGACTTAAGTGCATCCTGCTCTCATCTTCCTTACAAAAAACAACAATCTTTACCCACTTAATCATTAACATATCAGTGTGCCCCTAAATACCTGGAAACTACAGAAGAGAATTATTAACTGCTTAATAGAAAGGAAGTATCTTTAGATTTGAAGGACTTACACTACAAGGCTGCTAAATGAACAGAAGTGCATGCATTCATTTTGGGTCAACTCAAGCCTATCTCAACCACATTTTTGAGGACCAAAAGACTTCACTGAATTTTAAAGAATGATGCTGCAAGACAAAGCCTCTGGCATAAACCAGAAGGCAGTCAGGATCTCAAAATTTAGTATGCACAGAGTCTCCTGGGAGCCAGTTTAAAAGGCCAATTCCCACGCCTCACCCCCAGAAACACTGCTCACTGGGTGTGGGGCTGGGTGGAGAAATCTATTTTAATAAACACCCCCAGGGTGACTGGAATGCAGCAGCTCCACTGCCCTCAGGCGCTGCTCCAAGAATAGACCACAGGGGCAACTTGCAGACAGACTTGTAAAGAAGTTCTAGAGCCCTGTGTTTCAACCTTGAGTGTCTTGGAGGACCTTAATTTTGAAGCGGACACAAAATGCGAGAGGTTTTAAAAATAAGCTAAAAGAAGAATAAATAAAGACTACTTTCCAAAAATTGCAAAAATACATACTAACATATAACTCTCCAAGAAAAATATCTTCTAAATGTTAATGATTATCACTAGAAAAAAACTAGATTCAAGCAAGAATAAATTACTACAATGCATAATTGAACTACTCAAAGACAGGTCTTGAGCCTGAAGAACTTATCTATCGCTAAGGTCCTTGCTATAAATATCTCTAGAACAAATTAACACATTTTAAAACTTTAAAAGTGAATATGTCCGCTTTGATGTGTACTTACATTCAAGTCAATTTTAAGCAAAATTAATGAACTAGAAAAAAAATGTGTCATCCAGTATTCATTTATTACATTTTGCTTTGTATGTCTGTCTAATTTTAAAAGGACTAATGCCAGAAAGGAAAACCGAAGACAACCCAGAAGATCATCTGTTTTTCTATGTCTAGTCCTTTCTCTGTTTCCTCTGTATGCCTCATTTTTTATAATATATGCTGCTTGGCCAGCCTTTTTCTGGGGACCTTAGAAAACCCCAGTTTTAATGATTATTTTAAACAGTTTGGAAACAGTTTCAAACATTGTAAAGACGAAGTTAGGGCCAAAAGAATGAAATTTTCCTGTCTGAAAAGAGAGAAATTTCCAAATTTGAAATTATTATATACATGACAGAGAGAATGGAAAATAAAAGTTTGTTCTACTCACTAAAGAATAAGGCATGCAATGTTGTTGTTATATTTTTAATGAGCTCAAAACCCTGAAACCATGAAAGATTTAACAGAATGACAATTAGAAATATGACAAAAACTCTTTTATTCTCTGGTTGGAGAGTATATTGAATAACTTGTAAAGGGAAAATACATTTGCAGAAGAACAATGAAAAGAAGACAATGACCCTTCGTATTTGTATAGAGTTTTAAAAGTTAGAAAGTAAGTTCTAGCATCATATTGGTCATCTTGATAATCACGTGATTTGCCTCCAAATCATCCTATGAGTGGCATGTGTCCACTAAGAAGATGAACACTCTACGCTAAGCCACAGAAAGCAAAATTTCTAATATTCAAACTAGATGATAAGAAGACATTGAATAATTGAGGAATGCTACGAATATTCTTCTTGGCTGCTTTGAAAAGGTAGAGATAAGTGATAATATCCTACATTAGGCATTTCTATCAGAGGACGGTATGAACAGGTTAATAAGTTCCTAGAGCAGTTTCAGATATGGTCAATGTCATATTCATCCTTGACTTCTCTTTTGACTCAACTCTTATGCTTTTAGTTAATCTAAAACTTGGATGATAAAGCTGTATGCATGAATCTGAATCAGGAAAAGCTAATTAAAGTGTTATTTAACCATTTTCTGGTCACTAATAGACATGTTTGAATTAAGAAAAGCTAAACGAAGGAAAACAAGTCCATGCAATTGAGTTTTGGAAAGTTATTAGTTTTAAAGATTTATAAAAACAAGGAGAAGAGTAATCCCATTAAGTAAATGAATAGACTAATAAAGTTGATAGAATGAAGAAAGCTTAAGCTTAGTTTATTAATGCCCTCACTACTACAGAACACATCAACTGCAAGACAAAATCACCGACAGGCTGTGGGCCTGACGCTTATCCATGGTCTGAGATATTATGAAAGGTCACTGGCCGCTGGGTGCCATCCACAGAAGAGCCTCAGAGCTGCCTTCTATGCAACCTGGCCTCGGGGTCTGGCGATACAGGGCCAATGCTCAGAAACGCAGCCAGGGACTGGCGCGGACCTCTGGAACACTGGCATGTGTTTGTGCTGAGGCACACTTCTGCCCTGTGGTGCCATTTCTCTTACTCACTAATGAAGGACTTGGGGAAGTCAAGAATTCCACCTGCTCTGGCATCTACCATATATACTAGTACTTCTTCAGTACCGTTAGCCATGATCAATCAGGAGATGAGTTACCTTACTTCAACGAGGATGGAGTCAAGAAGAGGATGTACTACCCTTGACAGGCAAATTCATACTGTGTCCATTCAAGGAATGTATGAGTGTGCAGGTGAATGAGCCTGGAACTCCAGGTTTCTCAAAATTGTTAACATATTGAGATGAGAGGATAAGAGAACATAAGGCTGGTACTTAGGAATCAGTCACTTCTATTTTCTACCTACTGCTCATTTTGCAAGATACCTGCAATTACCTGGATTCCCAACTGTTAAGTATGAAGATCTGAATTTGAATGCCAGTAGCATCATCTGCTAAATTACCACACAAATGAGTCTTCACTTCAATGCTCCTCTATAATCTCACTAGAGGCCCGGTGCACAAAATTTGTGCACAGGAGGCGGGGTTACCTCAGCCCGCCTGCACTCTCTCCAATCCAGGATCCCTCAGGGGATGTCCAACTGCTGGTTTAGCCTGGCAGTCGGACATCCCTCTCGCAATCTGGGACCGCTGGCTCCTAACCGCTCGCCTGCCTGCTGGCCTGATCGCCCCTAACCATCTCTGTCTTGGCGCCTGCCATGGTGGCTTTGTCCGGAAGGATGTCTGGAAGATGTCTGGTCTAATTAGTATATTACCCTTTTATTAGTATAAATTGTTCTGAGGATTAAATGAAATAATGTATATGAAAGTGCTAGTGCATAAAAGATGTTCAAGAAATGTGTTGATTAGAATTTAGAATTTTGTGCAGTTGAGATAAAAAGTATAGTTTCCTTAAATAGGGCCTTTTACATATTTTAATTTATATGCCAAGTGCATCTCAGCAACACTTGAAAGAAAAAACGGTACACTATAATAGAATTCACAGTTAAGGAGGTGAAAACAGAATCCTTTCTTCATCAGTCTCTGGGACTCCAAAGAGCCCTATGCATGTGCAAAGCTTTTGAAGTGCTAGTTTTATCCTTTTCCCTATCAAAGTTTAAATATTCCAGATAAAGAAGATTTACTTCCTTTATGAAAAGTCTTACAGTCTTCTAAGACCCTAGATCTCAATGGTTTTTACAACAAACACTGCTCAAAACGGGAGAAGCAACAAGCACTCACTAATACTGCAGCCAAGTAATGAAGGCTTTGAAGGAATGATTAACAAACGCTTCTGTCTCTGAGTGCTGACTTGACAAGCCTCAGGCAGAAAAGAATTCCTTAAATAATAATCCACATGTACAGCTTAAAATGAGGGTGGTCTCCACATTTCAAATAACAAACTGCTGGGGGTGGGGAGAGTTTATTTTTTATTTATTGCAGGGTGACAGGAGTGTAAGTATCTAGAGGTATGTCATCCAACTAAGGAAACAATGAACCAAAAAATCCACTGCTGCAAATTTCTTCATTATAGGACCCTGACACATTTGTAACTTACTTGCTAGAAATCCTTATTTCTGAGATGTGAAAATGGACTTTGTACAAAAATTGGGAAAAAGAAGAAATGGTTCGACATTTCCTTCCCTGAGCTTCTCCCACCTTTACCAAAGTACTAAAATCTGAATATAACTGTATTACATGATGAGTAGGGCTGTCTCCTGGGATGGCTTGGGTGTTTTAGCACAAGGGCTGAGAGAGGAGAAGACAAAGCCACAAGGCAGAGCTCTGGACTTCAGTGGGCTTAATTCTACATTCATGCTTTCTCCGAATACTTCATTAACTATGCCCCTAGGATCTGTTTATTTTCCCCTAATGCTTCCTAGCTGTCTAACCTTGGACATGTTATTTAATCTAAAAAGAAAATTCTGGCCCTGGCCGGTTTGGCTCGGTGGATAAGAACTTCAGACTGCATACTGAAGGGTCACAGGTTCGATTCCAGTCAGGGGCATGTGTGCGGGAGGCAACCAATCGATTTGTCTCTCTCTCCGTCTCTCCCCTTTCCATTATACTCTTTCTGGAAATCAATGGGAAATGATGCTTGGGTGAGGACTGAAAAAAAAAGAAACCAATTCTGTAAAATGGAGCTAACTGATACCTAGCAGGGTTTGTGGAGATTACATGAGATGGCATCTATAAAAAGTATCTGGGACTTCCTTTTCTGTCCAAAACAGTACTGAGTACAGAACTTGCTCTCCCATTGTAAGTAGAAAAGTTGACAATATATCTGAAGCAATTTTTCAGACATTTTATAATAGGTAGCATTAGATAGTGATCCCTGAGAAAAAGAATCAAAGGTGAGCCTTACGATTCTATCTGGCTTTCTACCTGGAGGCACTTTTGGAACAAAAGCAGAGCAGAGCTTGGAGGAGGGAAGCCAAAATAGACTGGTGTTTAGGAAGCCTGTGGTAGCTGATATTTGCTGATTATAGTACCAAATAGGAGGAAACTACCCAGTGAAAGAGACTCAGAATCTGCATAGGGGTTCCCCAAAATGCAGGCTGAATATTAAATTGCATACACATAGAGTGAGATTCCAAAGCAATGCCAAGAAAAACTATTAGTGAAATAATCTCTATCAAAGAATTGTAAGCCAAACACTTCTCACAGTTCACATGGCGATAACCAGCCGAAGTAGAGGTACTTTACTGAATATGCAAGTATTCATGGTCTTACTACTATTTCTATAGTAGGGCCAAATTAGTCAGAGAGTAAAGGCTGCTCTGGGTATGCTTCAATAAAGCTTAAGAACAAGATTCATGTAGATCAGGCTATTCTGTAAGAAATTCAACTAACTCAACACTCTTTAAAGAAGACAACAAAATCCATACATTCAACAATGAAACACTCATAATGTTCACTAAGCAATCAAAAATAACCAGATGTGTGAAGCAGAAAAATGTAATTCAAAAGCAGGAGAAAATCCCAAATGACAGGGATGATGGAATTAGCACACAAGACTTTAAAAACAGCCATTATAAATATGTTCAAGGATTTAAAAGGACAATATGAACCTAATGAGGAGAAAATGCAAAGTATAAGAAAAGACAATCAAATGCAACTTCTGCCCCTGAAAACTATAACATCTGAAATGAAAATTTCACTGAATTGGATTAACAACAAATTAAGACACTGTGAAATAAAAGAAAAACATAGTGACCTTGAATACATATTAATAGTAATTATCCAAACAAAAGCATAGAGAAAAACTGGTTAAAAAATTATATCAACAGGGTCTCATTCCCCATCAGTACACTAGTTAAATGATCTAATGTATGTGTAATTGGAGAGTCAGAAGGAAAGGGGTGAGGGGGGGCAGAAAAAATAGAGACATAAAGATTGACAAATAATATTTGAATCTGATGAAAGCTACAAATCTACAGATCCAACTGACCTCTACACTGTCACATGTAGATGGCGTAATCTTTTAGAAATGCTTGCTCTGGAAAGCATGTTCTTTTTAAAGGATTACATTGGGGGAAAAAAAGTTAGATAAAATGTGGTGATATTATCTCACAGCACACAGCGAAGTCTCATCTCATCTCTGGGTGTGTCAGGGTCAGTAAGAGGCTGCTGGGGTGTGCAGAGGCTGGTTTTTCCCCCTTTCTGTGGTCTGTTATTGTTTAACTAGAGGCCCGGGACACGAATTTGTGCATGGGTGGGGTATCCCAGCCTCGCAGGTGATTGGGGCCAATTGGGGCCAGCTGGCCGCGGGGAGGGACCGCAGATGGTTGGCCGGCCATGGGAGGATGGCTGTGGGAGCACACTGACCACCAGGGGGCAGCTCGTGCATTGAGCATCTGCCCCCTGGTGGTCAGTATTCGTCACGCTACCGGCTGGTAGTTCGGTTCTAATGGTTGCTTAGGCTTTTATATATAGAGATAGATACCTGTTTAAATGATGAGACTAATGGTCCCTTTTATTTTGACTCTTGGAGTAAGAGAGATAAATATGTATATTGCCTTCTTCAGGGCTTTAGAATAAAGACACTTTCCTACTTTTCACTAACTTTAGGAAACTTGCCACTCTGAAAGAACAGAAAACTATGAACTCTTCTGCTCCAAAGCTATGCTTCGAAAGGTTACAATGAGCCTTAAAGGAGAGTAGCTTAGTGGAAGGGAACCTTTCCCTGCTGAATGTATTACATAACTAGAAAACTGGGCAGTCAGAGGCAGTTTGCTAATTTAGGCTCAACCCCTCTAGCCTTTACAGTCATTGGGATATTGGAGCAAAATGTGTAGAGTGATTATTTTGCTTATTCACTGCCTTACCTGATGCTACAATGCTTAAGTATGGCCTTTCTATACATTTCTAACATTGTCCTTCATCATCTAAAGGCGGCTGGGAATGTGTAAATACACAAATAATACATAATCTTATCTACTCCCACTCTGGCCCTTCATTTATAGAATCAGAGTGCTTATTACATTCTCTTCCTAGACCCTTTCAATAGCTCTTTATGGTGATAATTTATATAACACCACAAACTGGGACAACATGAATGAATTGTACAGAGTAAATGTCAGAATATCTGGATAAAATGAGTTTAGGGCATATTGAGATTTAACATTTTGTGCAGTTGCAAGCAGAGTATGGAACATTAAAATAATATTTAAGAGTCTAGGCTATTTATGGGTTTTAATAGTCTCTCTTGCATGTCGTTTCCAAGTTGGCAACAGCAAAACCATGGCAACAGGAAAGTCTTCCCTGCAGTAGTTTATGAATGCTTTTCTGTTTTCATGACTCAACTCCTTATTTAATTTCCTGTACAGAAAATCAGAGAGATTACTATAGACTGCAATACAGATGTGCTAATCCAAAGACCTCCTCAAAGAAAAGGTCACAGAAGTCTATGGATGGATTTAGAGATAAAATGTAAAACTGCCTCCATGCAGACACACAGCAGTAGTCGACATACTCTAATCAAAATAGATACCTGAGAACTTAACTATTTTATTAACAACTTGGGGAAGGAGAGTGGACAACCTTGCATGTTCATGAGCTGTAAATAAACAGACTGCTTCATTATTGTGCGCTTAATCAGCACATTTTATGAGCCAAATTAATACTAAATCTAAGAAGCCTATTTCCTTAGAGATTAAATTAGACTATGGATAATAATAACAGAAAATAAGCACCTAAAACCTTCCGAGATATTAAAAGACTACAAAATGAATAAGAAAAAACATGCAAAGGTTGGTTCAAAGATAAGCATGAGGATTATGAAATGAATTAATGGAAGTTGGAAATTCTAGGGCTTAAGACCAGATGGTTATAAGTTTGTAGAGTTTTTCATCACATTAACATTCAGCTAAATATAGTGAAATGTACGCCACACTTTCCAGGAGCAAATCTGTGTCTACTGCTCCAGTCCATCCACATCTCTGATAACACTTTTTATACCGTCTCACCCTAGCTGCTTTGATTATGGTCTGCACTGTTCTGGAGCCACAGACCTCCGTCTCGGGCTTCCTCTCCTCCGTCACCAGCAGCTTCCTACAGTAAGTTTTATGGGCAATTTAGCAGGTGAACATCAACACAGCAGGAGGAAAACAAACCTAGTAGGAGGGTACATGTATTCCTTACTTTTGGTGTCAAGCTGTGCACGATACTTCTCAAATCCTTTGAGCCGAACGCGTTCTCCCAACAGCTGAAGGAATTCCTCAAAGGCCGGGCCGGCTGACTCATTGTTGTACATCTCTTCCTCCGTGCTCTGTCCAGCTTTGCAGTACATGATGCCGACTTTCTGCTGATAGTTCAGCTGTGAAGGCAGGCAACACAATGCATATAAGCAGAGGCGAACCACTCTGGCCCACTTACGTGCCAATAAGTCCTGTAGAGCAAAGGCCCATTGAATAGCTAACGGCTCTACCCTCTTGAAATCATTCTGTGTTAATTCTTCTGTCTTTGATACAAACAGTACAGTAGAGCAAGCGTCTGTAATTATAATCTTCATGAATTTAGAGGAAAGGCCAAAAAAATAACATCTCCTGTTATTAACAATGTGAAGATCACGCATCGTTAGAACAGATGTTGATACTCTCGGGAATTTCTGTTAATGGATTACAAAGTACAGAATAAGGCTATAAAAAACAGCTGACAACAAAAGGCAGTTCTTTTGTAATGTTTCCCCCCCACCTTTTTAAAAAGGGAGGCTTTTACGAATTTAAAAGCAGAAGCTCACTTTACAAAAGAGACTTTAAAATAAATTGTTTTTCCCTAAGAGGCCCACTCATGTTCTTGCAAAAAAAATTTTTGGTAAAATTGGAAGAGACATCTTCTAATGCCATTTTTCCAATATACTAAATCATAAGCCTGTTATATCTTTGTTAGAGTGCTAGCATCATTAACAATGCCCCTTTCAAATATTTTTCTAAAAGATGAGGCCTGGAAAGAAACTGGGAAGGGGCTTCCCAATGGCAAATCGGCAAAGGGGCAAACATTTCTTCTTAGACACAGTTATAACCAAGCATTCAGGAGGCTTAAGTAGAACTTATTCATCATTGAAAAATCTAACCATTTTACAAACGAATTTCAAGGTGATATTAGCCATTTAACAAGAAACGAGTTTTCAATATAAAAATGTAGAGTTTTAACTCTCCGTTGAAATCAGGGCAATCTGTATCACGTAGGCCTATTTTCAGAGTGGTGCTGCAATCCCTGCTTCAGTCCATTTTTATCTACTAAAAGGAAAGGGGGAAGGGGCGAGGCAAATTTTTATAACTAACATTTAATGAATACTCATTATATGCCAATCACTATGTTCCGTGTTTACCATTAGCTGATCCTTACAACAACCCATAAAGCAAATACTACCCCTGCCAGACAGATAAGCCAAGAGAATGGAAGAGAAAGTAACTGGCCCAGGAGGGAGAGTCACAGATCACAACTGTCAGTCCTGTAACTTGGCTCCATTAAACATGACCAGGACTCACCAGGCTTGTCCTGCTCCATTTCTATCACTGCAACATATGTCCACAGCCCCTTACTGGCAAGTCAAAAGTGGAAAGATAAAAAAACAAACACATTTGGCAGCAAAACTTGGTTTGAGCTGACGTTAGTACTTTTAACTTATTCCTCTTCGTGTGACTATTTGTTTCTTTCCTATAGAAATATGAATGTGTTTGACTGTGGGGTGCTGTCCCAGATTCCACTGGGGACATTACTATATAGTGTGTGCATTTACTACCCTGCTAAAATCTGGACATTTCTGGATTCTGAAACATATCCAGCTCTTATCGCTTTACACAAGGGACTCTGAACCTGAACAACTCCTTTCAACCTTCCAAACCAAATGTTTCAGAAGAGTGATAACACAGAAAATGTCATGGGAGAAACTCGTTCTTGCTTCCCCCCTCCACTGCATGCTACCAACATGACAGGAAGTTCTGCAGCTTTACATGACCTGGGGACAGAAGGGCTCCCCAGAAGTTCTGTACAGAACTGACCCGACTCTGCCTACTCCAGGGAGTGGGAGGTGAAGTTCCAAGTCTGAAACGTGCAAATGCACTAGAATATTTTTAAAATAGCATATAACTTCCATTATTGTGGCTTCATTGTAATTATTAACAGAAAGGGATTTAGGACTTACTCATTTTGTATACCACATGTAGGAAAAACCAAACAAAAGAAGTCAGAGTAAAACCTACTGCACACCACTGACATTTCCGCCTTATCTCAGCCGGCCTGCTTCAAATGTCTGACTGTAGCCAATGCTTAGAGGGGAACTCCCACAGGTAGAGATTTCATCTTGACTTGGGAACTAAGCTGAGTACCCTATCAGGTCTCAGCAAATAACAAAGTAGTGGTAAGCTCTGCGTCTATTATAGAAAAGTCCCTAATAAAGCCAGATCCTTACTCTCTCCCACAGGAGAACCATCAGAGATGAAGTGATTCAGAGAAAGGAAGCGGCATTGGGTTATTTGCTGTTTGGCTCAGTGCCTGCCCTATCGGCCTTCTCGTGCAACAATGTAAGACAAAAGTCACCCTGTTCCATAGAAAGCGTCGGTGATATTGGATTTGTGGGATGGCTTTTTAAAACTTCTTAGATAAAGCCTAAGATTTCACTGTGCAACACTCAAAAGGATTCATTTATAACAAAAGAAAAAGAGAGAGAAAGAGGGGGAGAAAAGCATTCAGAGGAACACAGATAAGTAAGCGAACTTCCCTCAAATCACTGGAGAAGAAGAATCTATGACTATGTGCTGTTTTATTAGGACTGATTTTCATAGTCCCCAGAACTCCACCTGCAGACAGGAGAACAAACTGGTTTGTGCTGGTTGTGAAAGGAAGGATCCTTTAAGGGGATTAAGAAATGGGTTAGAATGTCAAATTTCCTCTGGTGTGAAACTGTGCCAATTGCTCTATCCTCTAAGGTGACAATATGACTGTATCCCGAGTTTCTGCTGCAATTAAATCAAGGTGGGTGGCATTCTCTGAACTTGCGCTCCCAGAATCCTCAGTTAGCAGCCATGTCCCTGCCAGAATCTGAGAAGTTGTTAAGGAGAAGTTATGTAAATGTAATAAGGAACATTTCAAGAGAAAGAGCAAATGTAAATGGAGTTAGAGCTGTCCTTTGGGGGTTTTGAATTGTTATGAGTTATATAGAACAGCATTTTTTTGGAGGCACACATCTGTATAGGTTCATGTATGTCAATATATAATCCTTTCATGCAATGCTCAAAATAGAGCTGCGAAGGCCCCAGAAGCCACCTTGGGAACGGGCTGGGGCTCTCTGCACTCGGGGCTTTGCTCTGGATAATCTCAGGGTCATGCTATATAATTCCGTGCTTGCGTATCAGCTGCTCACAGGGAGCACTGATGGAAGTGTCTGGACACAACAAATGTTTGTGTTGTAAAAAGGGATGATATTTTTGTTATGGGCAAGATTATTCTGAAATTTATATGGAAAGGCAAAGGAACTAGAATGGCTAAAACAATTTTGAGAAAGAATAAAGTGGGGAAAATTATTCTTCCCAATTTCAGGACTCAGGTTTATCTGAGATGAAGGTGAACCTCAACAAAGTAAGTGTTTTTCAACACCCATCAAGTGGTGTGGACTCCCCCAGCCGGGAACAAACACAACACAGCGCGGCTCTTCCTCTCATAAAAACGGCACTTCAACACCAAACCAAAGAAACAGGAGCTGCAATCTGACTTACCCGCCCTGAGCTCCTGGAAGGCTGGGGGTAAGTCAAGTTGGAGCCCCTCCAGGTGGAAGCAGATGAGAATAACCAGGTTCTCAGAGATCGCCCAGCAGTGCCTCCTCATCTCTTCATCCTAGTGTCCCAGCCAAAGGCAGGCCACCGGGCGGCACAGAGCATGAGAACAAACCAGTTCTTACTGTTCTTACAAACCCAAACTGCCTGATTGAATCTAGGAACTCAAACGCTCACTATGAAGTACGTTCTTGTACAGCAGCTCTCACCCTTGAGGGTGCTTGAGCTGTACTCTGGGGTATGGTTATTGGGAAATAGTTTGATCCTTTCAGCTCTTGCTGTTAGGTTGTGCCAGAGCAGAGTTTAATTTGAGGATAAATTGGCCCCACTATTGCAGCAAAAGCACTCTGAGACTTTGTCCAATGCCACGTGAATGGAGGTTTTCCCGGCTGCCTGGTGGGAGCAGAAACTGTTCCCAACCACGTGGGAGGACTGAGGACTCGCCCTTCTCCACCTTTAGGGGGATTCTCACTCTGGCCTCATGCAGTTTCCTCAAATGCATGCGCTTTTCAATACTCAGCTCTGTGAACCCCGAACCGGAGCCTCCTTGGCCTCACATCTCAGTCTCACCTCTGGGAGACCCCTGGGCTTCAGCTGGGTCCCCACCCAACCCGACCCCCTGTGAGCACTGCAGCCTGGACACTCTCTTCAGACTGGCGCAAGCTTAGGGTCTACTTCCTCTTTTCCCACCTCCCAGAGATCACTGCCCTTCATTGCCTGATGCACAGTGCCATAAAAATCACTGTTTCATTGTTCAGCCTCGTTTTTAAGTTGTTTCAGATGGGAGCATAGATCTAGTCCCTCTTTCTTAATCTTGGCCAAAAGTAGAAATCTGCCTTCAGTTTTGTGTATGTGTGTTTTTAATATTTTTATTGATTTCAGAGCGGAAGGGAGAGGGAGAGATGGAAACATCAATGATGACAGAGAATCATTGATTGGCTGCCTGCTGTACACCCGACACTGGGGATCAAGCCCACAACCCCAGCATGTGCCCTTGACCAGAATTGAACCCAGGACCCTTTAGTCCACAGGCCAACGTTCTACTCATTGAGCCAAACCGGCAAGGGCTGCCTTCAGTTTTTAAATCGACATTATTGGTATATAATTTCTGAACAGTAAACTGCATCCAATTAAATGAGTCCTAATAAACCTCCACTACAATCGAGGTACAGACATTTCCATCACCCCAAAAATTCCCTGGTTTCCATTTGCAGTGCATCCCTGAATTAATAAAAGCCTCCAACAACCACTGTTCTATGTTTTCCCATTGTAAATCAGTTTTGCCTACATTTTAAAAGAGCATTTTTGTTGGGTAAAATTTATTGTGTCAGTTGTTCTTTCAGCATTCTTGATAAATCTTCTGATTTCCACCTTTTCTTCATGCTTCATAGCCAGCAAATGTTAATTTAAAGAGCCAATTGCCTGTCTCACTGTTCTTTTTGGAAGGTATATTTTTCCTTAGGCTATTTAAAAAGTTTATTTTCAGCAATATTATTTTTTACTATCAGGCTTAGGTCTGATTTTTGTTGCACTTACCGGGCTT